ACGTTTTGTGTGTATGTGGGACATAGCTTTAGACTTGAAACTGTTTACACTGTAAGGAAATTTCTGATGACGTGAAAAGGAAACCCCAAACACCAAGTTCATCAGCATATTAACCTCTGCAGTGAGGAAGAGGAGTGTCTAAGGGTAAAACGACTAAAAGTCTCCGAGGACCTGATTTAAAAAAAAAATTTTTGGCCACTGGTTTGACTTTCCTTGATGGAAAAATACAAACAGAAGTGAGACTTAAAGACACACCAGATTTTTTTCCAAGATTTTTCATTCAGCTCTAGTTTTTTTTTCAAGAGCCCAGATTTTCTGGATTCCATTTGTGACCCCAAGATTGAGTTACCTCAAACATTAATACCTGTTTTAACATCGTCCATACTCATAAAAATAATGCATTATAGAGACAAGGTGGATATAGTTAGAAAAAAAGCATATGAAATACTTTGAGGTGTTCAATATTTTCATAGTTTTTGTTTTGTTTTGATTTGTTTTGGTTTTTTTAGGGGGATTGGGGGGGGGGGGGTCACGACCTTAAAGAATTTAAGGCTTGGGAAAAAAAAGTACAATTCCTCTAAGGGTTACCTTAGTCAGTGCTAGTCAGTTTGTGGAGCATTCTTCAGCCACAGTATGGAAAGGTTTAATTTTATGGTGACAGAATGATGCTGAATAATATGATTATGTGCATTGATATATATGATTATTTTTGTGCTACATGGTATGACTTTGTTAAAATGGTAAAAGTGTGTTAAATTAAATAGTCTTGGCCCTTGGCTTGCAGGAGGAATTAAAATAAGTAAAATGAAGATTTGGTTGGACAATGACGTCAATGCCAAGATTTGTAACCAAGATAGTCGGTGGAAAATTAGTAACAGTTCCAGAATACAGAGACTTCACATCTTCACGACAAAGTGGCTATAATTTGAATGCAACCTATCCATGGGGAAAGTATGACTCAGGGCTTGCAGGACACAAGATTGGAAGCAGGACATACCCTGTGCTTCCTCCAATTTCTGATGGTAAGCTTTACTATATTTACATTTAAGACAAGTACAAAATTGTTTAAAAATTGTTTACTGTTTTACAAACTGTACAGGAATGTATTTTGATTAATTCAGTGCTCATTCAAAAATGTAAGTTTCAAAAATTTTGTTGGAATTCTTTAAAGTTGAAAAGCACTTAAAATAACACCATATTATATTATTGTTATTATTAATTTTATCATTATTATTATTATTATTATTGAAATTTTGCACAGCTGATGATGTTACAGCTGGTTTCTTCTCTAGCTTTGAGTAACACGTTGTCCAGGAAAGCCAAGGAACACCATCTGTTTGATTTCCTCTCCTCTACACCTTGCGCAACTTTCTTAAAATTCTTGCTGACCTAGCTAAACAGTGCACATTTCTGGATCATTTTCACAGAGATTTTCGCATCAATAGCCTTCAGGTTGTTTTCCAAATTCATTGGTACTGATCCTAATGCCCCCATTACCACCAGAATCACCTCTGTCCTTACATCCCACATTGTTCGAATTTCTCTTGCAAGATCTTGATACTTTTCAACTTTCTTATCTTTTCACTCACCTGTGTCCATCCTCTGGAAATGCCACATCTATAATTTGACGGCTCTTCTCTCTCTTGTTAATGATCACTACTATAAAATCCGTCTCGGCTGGCCCTAATGTTATTATTACTACTGGTAATAATTACAAATTAGGGGAGTGCGTTTAATGGGGAGGGGGGGTGGGGTGGTGGGTAGTGAGTGGTAGTGGGAATTAATTAAATATGGTTGATCTAAGCTGACCTTCTTTGAATCCATGAAAACAAACACAGTGTGCAGAACGCATTGTTAACATAATACCTACATATCCGATTATCTTAGAATGGAAATTTTCCTATATAAAAAAAACTTAATTGAAAACTACGAGAAAAACTATTAACAAAGCTGTAGTAAACAGAAAATTGCCAACGTTTCATCTGTGAACGAGTGTCACAAAATAGATACCAGCTCCCAGGTGAGAAACACTGAACACATGAGATTGAGGCAAAATGTGCCAGGCCGGTCCAAGATGGCGTCCAAACCGTGAAATCGCATGGCATACAGAATGGTTACTACCTCGTGTACAGTACACAAATAGTAAGCGTTCTCCTTTGTCAAACGCAATTATCTTTATTTTAACTTTTTTTTTTATTTCAATTATCAGGTCAATCCAATAAAGTGACTTCAGATAACCTTGCTCAAAGAATAAGGGAAGCTCTCATCAATGTCAGCGAACATAA